TTGTAATATTGTCTAAAGTAGTGTTTTGCTGTAATTTTGTGTGTTATTTTCTCTGTATGCTGACGGTGAAGTTTTGAGTTGATGGTTGATTTCATTTTGTAAGTAGGGGCAGATATTATAAGTTTATACTTCTTTCTGCTCCTTTTCGTTCATGACTTCATTTTATATTTAGTTTTGTTTTCCTTGACATTTTGATTTTGTATGCATCATTTGTTTTCTATTTTTATTTTTGGATGACTTGTTTTGTATTCATTTTATAATTCATGATCGAAATAAACAAACAATATTTTGAATTACATTTTTTTAAAGTTTGTGCTGAGCTGGGGGTTTTGTTTGTTTTGTCGTTCTAACCTAAATGTTTTCTGTGCAGGCAGTGGTGCAACCGTTCACACAGGCATGAACATCTCGGTGCAGTTCAGAGAGGAGCCAGACTAGACTAGAACCAGAAGGGTCTGAGTTAGAAATCATCAGGACTGGACTGCTTTTATAAAAATATGTAACTTTTACACATGATAGAATCTCACACAAGTGCATGTCCCATTGGTTTACAGTTATATTCATTTATAAGCCTCCGTTCATTGAATATAACGATACTTTTTTTTGTTTCAAAATCTTAAAGAATAAACTAAAAACATAAAAAATATCAGGCAATAGATGTCCTGTAAAGATGACGTAACGGTGTTGTGTCATGTGATATCAAGTGGGCGTGACTTAGAGACGTTTTCCGGAAACATGGAGGCTGTACTCAGTGATGTTGTGGCTCCCGAGGACCTTATAGTGAGTTTTTATTTTATTAAACATCTTACAGCGTATAAAACATGAATCATATATTATTATAGACTATCATTTAAGTCTTTGTAGCATCCTTTGTGTTGGTAAATAGTTATATTTCGGTAAAATAAAACGTRTTGATCCGTTTGTTGCGTCACGTATCCTGTTAATGCTAATGCTAACTTTCATGTTTTGATGAAAACTYGGTCCCGTTTCCTTCTTGAAAATAACAATATATACGGGTAAAACCTACAGTAGTTTCAAAGTAAGTATTATTGTGTGAACTTACTTGATTGTTTTTCTGTTCTGGTTAAACTGGAAGTGTTGTAAAATTGTGAAAGTTTATACACATTAGGTCAGCAGAATAATGCGTGACGCTCTAGTACAAATCAATGTCTGAAAGCTGTAGCGTTTCATGACCGACTTACTAATATATTTGTGTTAAATTCGTGWCATTTCGTTGTTGCAGAAATTTGAGAAGAAATACAACAGCGAGCTGGTGAAGGGCACAGTTTCCAAAGAGACCAAGTTTGAATATGCCTGGTGTTTAATCAGGAGCAAATACAGCGAAGACATCAAGAAAGGGATTGTACTCCTGGAGGGTAAGAACCTCTCTGTTGGTCGTAAAATATGTTTTAATGGATCATGAGATTATCCCTAGAAACTAAATTACATTTAAAGTTGATTCCCGTTGTCATCCTTGGAATAGAGAGAAAACTAAAACAGGCATAAAGGATTTAAGGGCTGAGGTTGTTTTATTATTATGTCCTTATTTATATAGAAATATTATCGTAAAGTGTCAGTATTCCTAGTGAAGAWACCTGTATTTGTTGTAGTTATTTACTTGTGTATAAAAGTGTTTTTATTTTTTTATTTTTTTAT